CGGAATGAAAATGAATATCATGTTCACAAATGGAGATTACTTCTGACGACACAAGGCACTTGGCATTCCTCCCTCTTGAGTAGAGGCATTAATCCAAATTTCCACTAATGCACTTGCGTCATTTTTCTTCTCTATCATGACTTAGACATCACTATTTTTCGTAGGCCTATCCATATTTTATTCTTTCATTAATAATTACTCCTCATCGAAGGTTCCCTTTACCATTCATATGAAAAGAATTTATTTTATTTTATTTTCTTTTCTTTTGACACATTAAGGAATCAATTTAAATAACTAAAAAGCTAAATATTATTATGATTATTAACTAAATAACTACATTTAAAACTTGAATAATTCTAGTAGTATACTCAAAAGTGTACCGAATTGCTTACCCCCTCTCATATGTACATAGGATCCGCATGAATAAAAAAATTTCAAAATGTGGTCCCTAGCTCCTATTGTGAAAATTCGATAAAGGATTGCGTAAAAAAATTTGGTACATGTAGCTTGGTTCTTAAAAGTTTGAAACAATTTATTAACATGCTAATAAATTCATTTTGCTTAATCAAAACTTGGACAAATGAAATGAGAGGAATGTCATGTCTACAAATGGAGGGTTTTAGTAACTACACTTGTCAATTGGCATTCTTTTTCCCTCTAGTGGTTACACTGATTCAAATGTCAAGTAGAGTTTGTGTATCATTTTCTTCTCTATCATAATGAATCAATTAATAATTTAATATAAGCATAGCTATTTTTTGACTAATACTATTCATCGTTATTAGTGCTTAGCACCGGTCTAATTTGCAATTAAGTGATATTAAATGATATTTTTATTTGAATACAAAGTCAAATCGTCCATTTAATTGGATCTATCAAGAGTGGTCACATAGATTAATACTCTAACACCACGATACTAAATAGCATAATCTATTTTTATAGCCAAGTGTAGTAATATCACTGATTTTGAGCCTAAGTGCATAATTATTTTATGGAGATATGTGCTTTGAAATTGAGTTTTTAAAAAAAATTATATTATAGAGTTCAAACGGAGAGAGGGTGTTTGGCACTTATTTTTATTAAAAAATGAATTTTAGAATAGTAGATTGATGGAGAATGTGTGGATGAAAAATAAGGAAAAGTTTTTTATTTACGTGTAATATTATTTTAATGAAAAATGTGTGGTTGAAAAGAAGAGAGAGAAAAATGCATTTTAAGAAAAATGGGAATCAAACGGGTTTAAGCATGTTTGACAATCATATAAATGGAACTCTTTTTTTTTTTCCACATTTATTTTTAATTACATATTTTGGTAATAAAATATTTTGCATGTCAATTCAAATTTTCTTTTTATACTTTTTAACTACATATTTTTCAAAAATCAATATTTTAAAACAAATTAATTTCTCAAAAAAAAAAAAAACTCATTTTAATGGTTGTCAAATAGGGGCTATATACTATTATTCCCCTATTTGGTTTGACAAAAAAGGTGATTTAATATTTAAGTTAAAGTTAAAAATTAATTACAATCCACATTTCATTATTTTTTATGAAAAATATTAAAAATCTAACTTTTACCTACCATGTTTGAGCTCATTTTATTTTAGTGAAAATACATTTTGAAATATTAATTTTGTGAAGAATGTGTGATTAAAAAATAAAAAAATTTTAAAATTTACATCTAAAATTATTTTTATATGAGAATGTGTAGTTGAAAATAAATTTTGAATAAATGAGTTTTGGAAAAAGGAAAATGCTATACATACATGGGCTCCTTCATTGGTTTGAAATTGGTGATACGGCCACCATTTTTAATTTTTGAAAAAAAAAAAGAAAAAAGAAACAGGGGAAAACGAGGGAAACAAGGACACCTTATCCCGCGCACCGTAGCCTCACCCACTTCCCCCCCCCCCCCCCCCANNCCCCCCAGCCCCCCCCCCCCCCCCCCCCCCCCGCCAAATTGAACCCTACAACTTTGAGGAAATCATCACCTCCGACTCGACCGACTAAATCGTCGGCTCTGACGTGTGCATCGTGATTTTATGGTCATCTTCTCCACTTCCGTTCGTTTCCTACGTGAGCTACATTGTGCATTTTTGCCTAAGAAAATCGCGACCACCTCTCGCAATCGACCATCTTCCTCATATACTGTTTTTGCCCACATAAACCAGAGTCTTTTTCTAGTTTTCTTTAGTATTGCTCATTTGTAATATTTGAAATTGCATCATTATATATAGCTTTGTGAAGCTTTACTAGCCCTTTTATTTCCCTTCCTTCTTCCACAGCAGGAGTCTGATGCTGATGTTGGAAATAGGGGTTTGGGGGGACTAGCTTCCTGTTTTCTTGACTCTTTGCCAACTTTAAATAAACCAGTATGGGGTTAAAGACTTAGGTACAAGTATGGCTCATTTAAACAACGAATTACAGAAGATGGACAAGAGGGGGTTGCTGAATGTTCGCTTGAAGTATGCTTTCTTCCTGTCATTTTTTTTGTTTAGTTCTCGCATATGCACAGAACTGTATGGTATGCATTGGCCCCAGAACCATGTTTAAAGCCTGCTAATCTGACTTGCATTATTGTGCAGGGAACTGCTAGGAAAGAGGAAGGCATGGATTTGTTGTTCGTTTGTTGCAATCGCAACCGTGGACACCGCCGGAGAGATTGAAATTTTAAAACACTTATTGTTTACTAAGGCAACATCAACTTGTAAAGATTATGTGGATGAAATGGAAAATATTTTAGAAATCATTGAGTGCATGTTTGGTATTAATTTTTCAAAAAATCAAATTTTTGACGGTTATTTCACTATTTCAATCGTCATTTTTTACTTCTTCTTTCATAGGTAGGATTTACTTTTTTTCTCTAACGGTCAAAAAATCAATTCGCAAAATCACTACCGAACAAGTCCTGAATATTTTTGACGCGCCCTTTTTATTTCAGTTCAATGTTCTTATAGAAAATGTTGGTATTTTGACTATGAACATCTCAGCCATGGGGGTATTTGTGCTAAAAAGGAAGCTTGCTGGTGTAGGATACAATTTGGCTAATTATCACATGGATATATAACTACTAACTCTCATTTATTTAAACTTGTCGACTATTACTCAATCTTTCAACCATTCACCGTCAACATAGAATGCAAACTTACGGTCGGAAATTGGAGATGAATGCAATTGTCTTGTCTTACCGTTGTCGATGGATATGGGGGTTTCAGTTCGATTTTTGTTGTGGGCAAAGGCGAGGGCTATGGAGATGGGGTGATTTCAATTTGGGGATGATCCCTTTTTTTTTTAAAAGTTAAATGGTGGCCATGTCACCAATATCAAACCAATACAAAAGCCTTGTAAGAAGCCTGTGAAGCAATCCTTGTACGTGTAACACTATCCTCGAAAAATATACGAATCAATAGAGTCTAAATTGATGTTAAATCTATCAATCATATTACATGTATATTCTCACTTACACATTCTTACATGTGACAACATCTATACTTCTGATTTTAAACTCATCCATCACATCACTACACATATTTTTTCCACGCAAGGAAATGTCATCCAAAGTGGTAAAAGATGATGTACATATAAAGCATTATTCTAAATTTATTGGCCGACTATTAACATTTTAAAGCTCATTAACTATTTAAAAATAGAATCATGCTACATTGACAATGATGGACATAATATCGCGAGACGTTCAATCGTTGAACCACATAAAATATAATCGTATTTTTTTATCTAATCACAAAATGTCACACTTATACCGTCTTCCATCCAAATTCTTCCCTTAACGTGACATTTTTTTCTTAACACATGCCTAAAAATTTCATTTTTGCATAATCAAAAATGTGTTGGAACGAAATGAATGGCGAAGTACGACTGAGTGACGCTTGACAATTGTCATTCCTTCCCTCCTCCAGCCTTACGAAACCCTCTGAGGCACCGATTTGTCCATAAAATATTCTGCATATCTTACCGACATTGAGAGAATGAAGGACAGAGCAGGAGGAAGAGGATCAGCGCCAACGGAGGCTTCAGTGGAGGAGCGTTACACACAGTGGAAATCACTGGTCCCTGTGCTCTACGACTGGCTCGCCAATCACAACCTCGTTTGGCCCTCTCTTTCTTGTCGGTAGTTTCTTCGCTCTCTTTCTCTCTAGGGTTTTGTGGGATTCTTATATGAAACTATATGTATGTATACATTCGTGCTTTCTTTATTGGTTTTTTTTTTTTTTTTCGTTTTTAATTGCAGATGTATTTTGAGTGGAATGTGTGGAATTTCTAGTTTTGCTACTGAACAATTCCTTTTGGGTTTTTGGTTTTATTTTTTCTGATTTATGATTTAAATCTGGTTTTTATCTAGTTACAGAGAAAAATGTTAGGGTTGGGAGGGGAAGCGAAAGTTTTCACTTCGCATGCTGCATCATGTTTTCTTTATAGCCTCAGACACCTTCTCCTGGAGAAAAAAAAATATGAAAGTACCTTTATTAGCTGTAAACTCGACTATTTAATAACCGAGAACTTTGGGATGAAAGAGGGAAAAGGGGTCTTACCTTGTATTTCTTGAGAGTTTGATGGTTGTGAATCTGATTCCTCATCTAATTGCTAAGGAAATGTTCATAAATTGAAAATATTCACTCCCTACATTGTATCTTTGTTTTCATTTGCTTCTTTGATTGCAATATATTTTGTTTGGTATGAAAAATAGCATGTTGCTGAAAGTGTACATTGTTGTTATTAAGGAAATGTGCGTGAAGTGGTCATTGTTGTTACTTTTGTTAGCTTATTTTACTCATTTTATATAAATGCCTACCTTTCTGTATCTCAGATGGGGTCCGCAACTAGAACAAGCTACTTACAAGAACCGACAGCGGCTTTACCTTTCTGAACAGGCAAGTCAGACTTCTTCAATTACCTAAACTTTTCCATATAAGCTAGGATTTCTTTGGGTAGTGAGTTAAACATCACCTCTTTCTGGAAGAAAACAGTTATAATAGTCTATACTTAAAAAAAAATAGAATCTTGTATAATTGGACTTGGATCTTGTTTAATAAAAATTCTTTTGTTGTTGTGTTTTATGGAGAGCAAAAAGTCAAATTGCTGAACTGGATCTCTACTTATCACTAATTTTTTGTAGTTGCTCAAGTTTTATCTCCATAAGCAAATTAAATAATCTCATTATTTTCTTTTAATGTTTGGTCAGTTTGAAAATACACTCTCACATAAATTTGAGAAAGATGGAGGATGGGACTAGTTAAACATGTGATAAATGTGATGAGACTTGGATGGTGGAACGTATGTTAGGTTCTACTTCCATTCAAGTGTGATGGGATTATCTTTATATGAATGTTCCAAAAGCTTTTTCTTAACATATTTAGGAAATTGAGTCAAAGAGGCGTAAGAAAGCATAATAATTACCATGAAAGTCTCCGAGCTTATATTGCGCATCAAAAGTAAGCCCAAAAATTTAATGATTGAAAATAATTTGTCTTTGCACGAAATTTAGGAACATTGGCTACAAAGGTAGGAGCTAACCCAGTATGCGGATAATTAGTAGGCAATATCCGAATATTGATAAGAAGAGTATGTAAGCGGAACATTGCCTTGGAAAATTTTTTGGCAACTTGAGGAGTATCAATTATTTGAAGTAATCTCGCAACAAAGTCAACTTTAAAAGCACTCACAGGAGTAGACAAATTGTTAAATGTTAAGCGAAGATGGCAATATTATAAGTAACTCATCAACTGTATCATGGTCAAATATGTTCAAGATTGGTGTGAGAGGGGATATGAGACAAGGTATAGGGATGTGCAATTATAACTTCACTTTTTTGAGTTCCTCAATTGTCCTAGTTACTCTTTGAGACATGAAAGGAGCACTGGGCTAGTGCTTCATAGGCAAATTTTGAACTCGTTCAGACCCATAGTTTCACTTGTTTGAATTCCACGCCATCTCCCATTGCTTTGATCCGTTGACGAGAGCCCTTCCACATTTGCTACTTGCCCCTATGAGGCCCTTTCAACCCATTCATAGGAGGGGTCACCACAATGTTTGATTACTCCCCAAAAAAATCCAGCAGAGCCACGGTTAGAGATTCTGTGTCTATTACATCTTTATGTAATTCCATGGTCTAGGACTGTTCGAGATTCCACATAGTGATAATATCCCCGTGTCATATCCAGTACACAATCAATATGTGTTTTCCACATTGATAGTACTCCAGGGGTCAAATTTGATATCATCTATCACTCCTTAATCCTGCAAGTCCAGTGGATGTTTAGAAATCTCCAAATATATGTCGTGCAACCTTGTTGAGTTCATGCCAGCTTAGTCCAAAAATGATATGAAACCTTTAACTCATGCTCATAATTTTCTTTGAGTTCTTACATCCATATCGGACTAGAAATATGGGATATTAAATTCGTCTACCAAGTTTAAACATTAATCTTGAACTTTCAGTCGTCAAATAAACTCTGAAGTGGTTAGAGCTAGAGCTTCTACAGGGTTCAATCAATAATTGGTGGTAAAAGTAGTAAAGGTTGGCTACAAAGTTCTATTGAGCAACTTGTGAGGAAACTTAGTATCTGCTATGGCATATGTTCTCTTGTTATGTTCTGATTATTTCAACTGCAGTTTTATGTATGTTTGGTAAGAAGGAAATATCCTGGGATTATAATAAAAATGCTAAAATGTCCCAAAGGAAAAAAAATTTAATAGCTTGCTGGATGGTATGTGCATGAATCCATATAGTGTTGAATAACTTATTCAAAGCCTGTGTTTTCTGTTTGGAAGAGTGTCGTATTCTACCTCTGAATGTGCTGCTACCCTTACGTCTTTGACCATATGTCGAGCTCACTTTTATGTGGGTGCTTGGGGGCATATGAGACTATTATTCTTCTTTAAATTTGTCATCTCTCAAGTTGATAGGCTTGCCTGCATCTTGCTAATGCTTTAATTTCACCCTTTTTATCATTAATTTCATTTGTTATGCGAATCATTTATCATTTCCCTCATGTAGACTGATGGTAGCGTTCCTAATACACTCGTCATTGCAAATTGCGAAGTTGTAAAACCTAGGGTGGCAGCAGCAGAGCACATAGCACAGGTGATGTATTTACACAAAGATGAAGTAGTTCTTTATTTTCTATAATACCATTCCTTGTTTACTTTTATATCAATAGGTTTTTCTGAGCGAACCTCACTTTTACTAATTTTCCAATTGGTGTTTCAATAATTATCATGCAGTTTAACGAAGAAGCTCGCTCGCCATTTGTTAAGAAGTGGAAAACCATCATACACCCTGGAGAGGTATCTATAATTAAAATTTTTATTTGATTACAGAAAATAATTAGACATAACACTTACATCTTTGTTTGATTTTTTAAAATTTAATCAAGAGTTTGACCTATGATTTTTAATGCTTGGATCCTTATTTTTGCTCAAATTGTATATGACTTATGGCATAGTTGTGTTTAAAATTTTATTGTTTCTTCCAGAACTTGATTGTGTAGAATGTCAGTTCCTTACCTTGTTTACAATTAAATCTTTAAGTTAATAATTGTATAAAAGGAAAAAATTAGACTGTGTTATGAGACAAAATCTTATGAGGAGTGTTGCGTGTTGTCACACCTGTCCTACCCACTTGGGCCAATGACCCACTCATCCTGATCCACGTGGCATTCCTGCCGGATTCATTGAAACTTGACTGTACTGTGAACATAATTGCGAATGCCCCTGGAGACCCCAAAAAGTTGCAGGAGAAAAAGACCAGAAAAGATATTGAACTCAATGCATTTACAAACGAGGAACAAATGGAATGAAAAATGTGGAACCATGGACTGGACTTTTTACAGCTTTGGGGTATCTAATTGCATGTGATGAATTTATTTATTTATTTTTTATGCAGGTTAATCGAATCAGAGAACTACCACAGAATAGCAAGATTGTGGCCACTCACACTGACAGTCCGGATGTAACCATTTACCTCTGCCCATCATAGCTTATATTGTCATCAATCCTTTTGTGTTCATTTCGTGTTTTGGTATATTCCAGTTTATTGGACATTTTTTTTTATACCTCTAGATGTCTTTGAATTGGGTTAGGTTCTCATTTGGGACGTTGAAAGTCAGCCTAATCGTCACCCTGTTTTAGGTGCCTCAGCATCTCGTCCAGATCTGGTACGTTTTCCAAGGAAATGTAGACTTCAGTTTATTATAATGATTGTTTTGAGTACCGGTATAATTAAATGGACGTTGAAGCTATCCTGTTGTACTACACGATCTTGTTTGAATATTCTTCCATTTGGCATTTCAAGTTGTTAGCTTTGCTGTTATTCTTTCATGTTTACATTTTTGATTATTGGGAATTTTCTATTCTTTGTTATTTCCTGCTTAATTATCATTAGTACGTTGCTTAATAATTTCTTACCCAATTCCTTGCAGGTACTGACTGGTCACCAAGAGAATGCTGAATTTGCACTTGCCATGTGCCCAACAGAACCTTTTGTGCTATCTGGAGGTTAGATAACCTGTACCCATAAACACTTACAGATCTCCCTATATATGTTCTATTATAACTTGATGATACTTCCAAAAGAGAATTGATTAAATCTTTCATATGTTAACAAAGATAACTTTTTTTAGAAGATTTAGAAATCTTCGGTTGTCACCTTGTTGGCACGTGTGGCTGGGAAGAGAAAATAAACATTATCCCTTTTTCTTTTTCTTTTAAATAAAAATTCAGCACTGCATGTTTCATTTTGATTGGGATTTGGCAGCTATTTACATTTGTATTTTCCTACAGATGTTTCTTATTTTTTTCACCACACTAAACACGTCTTGAAAATTGAATTGATCTGAATTTGAATCTCGAGTTCTTTCCTCGATATAGATTTAAAATATGGTAATCTTTAAAATATGTGGTGGTTTTAGATTAACAATTAGAATATAAATTGTGCGGATTACTGAGCAACTAGAATTCGATGAAGATTGTTTTCTTTATCTTTATTTTTCATTTTCTTAATTTTTCCTGTGGAATTGATTAAATCTTTCATATGTTAACAAAGATAACTTTTTTTAGAAGATTTAGAAATCTTCGGTTGTCACCTTGTTGGCACGTGTGGCTGGGAAGAGAAAATAAACATTATCCCTTTTTCTTTTTCTTTTAAATAAAAATTCAGCACTGCATGTTTCATTTTGATTGGGATTTGGCAGCTATTTACATTTGTATTTTCCTACAGATGTTTCTTATTTTTTTCACCACACTAAACACGTCTTGAAAATTGAATTGATCTGAATTTGAATCTCGAGTTCTTTCCTCGATATAGATTTAAAATATGGTAATCTTTAAAATATGTGGTGGTTTTAGATTAACAATTAGAATATAAATTGTGCGGATTACTGAGCAACTAGAATTCGATGAAGATTGTTTTCTTTATCTTTATTTTTCATTTTCTTAATTTTTCCTGTGGAATAGTGATTTTTCAGCTTTGAAGAATAGTCCAGTCAAATTATCTACTAGAGCATGTTATTCCTGGATGTGCCTGCAAACCATTAGTAATTTACATTCTATAAAGAACTGTCTATTATATATATGATTTAGTGCCATTTGGGTAATGTTTGGATTTAGAACTTCGTGAAATAGTCCAAGTTGATTATGGTTGAAAATTAATTGTTTCCCTTTTGAACTGTAGGCGCTATCAGTTATTTGTTGATGTTTTCTGGTTTGTAACTATCGGTGTGACCTCAAATTATTAGCTTCACCTTTTTCTGCTACAGTTAGTTTGACTATTTTGTTCTTCTCTATCATATGCCTCGTGCTTTTCTCATCTGTTACAATGTGTGATATTTTGAGAATTTCGTTGCAGGGAAGGACCAGTCAGTAGTTTTGTGGAGCATCCATGACCACATCTCTTCTCTGGCAGCAGATCAGGGAGCTGCGAAGTCTCCAGGATCTAAGGGTGGTGCAGTCAATGGAAAATCTTCAGACAGTCCCACCATTCAAGCTCGAGGTATTTTCCAAGGGCACACGGACACAGTGGAAGATGTTCAGTTTTGCCCTTCAAGGTAGCTGGCACAGTCATGCATGGATAAGGCTATGAATTTTTATCGGCTGATGAGTCATATGTTAGAAGCTTCTTATGGAAATGTCAATGAATAAATTGTGAAAGAGCTTGCTTTTGTTGTCTTCCCCTTTAAAATATGAAATGTGAATTTTCTTCCATATTTAGTTATACTTGTTTCAACTTGGCATACAGTGCGCAGGAGTTCTGTAGCGTTGGTGATGATTCTTGCCTTATCCTATGGGACGCTGAATAAATTGTGAAAGAGCTTGCTTTTGTTGTCTTCCCCTTTAAAATATGAAATGTGAATTTTCTTCCATATTTAGTTATACTTGTTTCAACTTGGCATACAGTGCGCAGGAGTTCTGTAGCGTTGGTGATGATTCTTGCCTTATCCTATGGGACGCTAGAACTGGCTCTGCTCCTGTTGTTAAGGTTATCTTGCTTCATTTTACATTGTGAAGAGCTTATGATTATGGTGTGCACAAGATGTTAGCTGATGTTTAGATTATTCTGTTTCTCTATCTTTAATTCTGTTATGCTTGTATTCTTGTTTACGGTGTAATGTTTATGCACATACCTGTGCTGTTGCATTACATTAATTTTACATGCCGTTGCCTATATTATTATTTAAATGTCATCTGATTGGCCTTTGTGATTTTTGTTATTTCCTCACAGGTTGAAAAAGCTCACAGTGCTGATCTTCACTGTGTTGATTGGAATCCAAATGATGTGAATCTGATTTTGACCGGGTACTTTTTGACCTCTCATCAAATTAACAATCATAATGGAGGGGGGCAACTGTAGTGTATATGCTATAGTACTCGGTGACTTTTTATATGTACCACTTTGATTTCTTTTTATTTATTGATATGTTTGGAGTCTTATCATGAGATTGAACGAACTCTGCATCTTTCAGATCTGCTGATAATACTGTACGCATGTTTGACCGACGAAATCTTACTAATGGTGGAGTTGGATCCCCAGTCCACATATTCGAAGGCCACAGTGCTGCAGTCCTGTGTGTCCAGGTGCTAGACATGATATTCACCTGAGTGTTTAAGACGGAGAGTATTGTTGTGTTAACTAGCAATTTAACAGTGATATTTCTGGTTCAGTGGTCTCCGGACAGGTCATCTGTATTTGGGAGTGCTGCAGAGGATGGTATTCTGAATGTCTGGGATTACGGAAAGGTGTGGAGTCACAGGCTATTCCTAATCACTTCCAACTTTCTTACCTCTGTATAAAAATTATGATGTAACATGGAGTTCTGAAGCTTTTGACTAAATCACAAAATTGCCCGTTTGAGCAAAAAGAATTGCGTGATCTACTCTCTTAATCGTGCTTGAAATCTTTATTCATGACCTAGATTGGCAAGCTGGAGGGTGCTGGTACAGGAAGTTCAGATTCTCCTCCTGGCCTATTCTTCCGACATGCTGGGCACAGGTCCTAAGTTTATCCTTATTTTTCTTGTTTTGTATTTTCATACATGACATAAATATTTTGGACTTGTCTGTTTTAGAGTTTTCTTTTATATCTCTACTCCCCTCTTTACAAAATCTTCCCTTATGAGTGTTCCCCTGGTTGATGATTGTCCACATTTACCCCAAGTTAAGGGCAACCTTGAAGTTTACAGTCCAAATACCCTCATCTTTTCTTTCTCAACTCAGTTTACAAATTTTCTGAGTACTTTACAGGGATAAGGTTGTTGACTTCCACTGGAATTCATCAGACCCGTGGACAATTGTCAGTGTCTCTGAAGATGGTGAAAAAACGGGCGGGGGAGGTACACTACAGGTAACAATAAATTTTCTTGTGCTAGAGTTCTTTAATTACCCTTTACCTATAGGGCCTGTTAAAAAATCTGATTAAAATTTAAGTCAAAGTCAACAATTAATTTTAATTTCATAGGACCCATAATTTTTCGATCATATATTTCATCAACTTTTATCAAATCTGTTAAAAATCTGATTTTAATTGCTATCAAATAGGGGCATATATTGGAAAAAATAGTGATCTAGGCGACATTGTACCCTTGGCATGCTAGATCATATAACATTACTGGCTAAATGGTTATATTTTAATTCCCAAATTTCAAAGAAACCATAAGTGTCACGAAAAATTATTGCATTCCTCACATAGCGGAAATAACTCATAATGAATTAAAATTTCCTAACCATATAAATCAAACTTTATGTATCGCATGAGTTGGTCCCCAAAATAAATATTAATAGAAAAAAAAAATCTAGTTGTTACTAGGCATCCCATTGCACACTGCTCCAACGAATTTGTCACCCTGAACTAGTAGATTGGAAGGAAAAATGGTTAGTATTTTGAGAAAATACTCAATATATAATGTGCAGTTTCTATTAATATAACAATTTAATCATAAGTCATATAATTTCACATCACATTTCGTCAAGAGTAGTAGGTAGTAAAATGAATACTCTGAGTTATCTCGAATTTTCGAAGAAGTCCAGGTTTCATTTCATTATAAGGATATTTCATGAATATTCGTTATGAATAAATAATCATATAAAAGAAACTATCCATTATTTTGACAGCATGCCTATTGGAATTGTTTGCTGATAAAGAAAATTGACGCCGAAGTCCCATTAAGTTTAAAAATATGTAGTAATAAATCATTATTAAAATGAGGTGTATTTAGCTCCCGTTTGGCCCCATTATTTGCCATTTTAATTTTTGGAATAGTGTTTTCTTGAAGAATGTGTTTAAAAAGGTAGAAAATTTTGAGTTTACATGTAATATTATTTTATTGGAGAATATGTGGTCAATATGAAAAAAAAAAGATGAATTATAATTCTAATGGGGCCAAACGGGGGTTTAATATTACCCCATCCTATCACCACAACCTACCCCCATTCCATCACCCATCGTGTTCTCTCTCTCTTTGAAAGGCAAAATGGAGTTGCCTTCCATGATCACACCATCCCAATGTACTGGAATCGTTGCCCAAACTAGCATATCTATCCTAACATAGATGATTGATAACCTCTCCTCGACCCCAAACAATTTCGACAAAAGCCACAGGTTTGGGCTCCAAGGCATCATTTATGGAGCCAATTGATTGATGGTCTCCAAGTGGCCTACTTTCTGAACGATTCACGTGATGGGACCATTGCAATTGATTTTAGGATGTCAAAAAATCCTACAGTGGTGTCGTTGGCATGAAATTTGGTCGGAGGATGGTGACGGTCTATGATGCACCGATATGGATACGCGTGTCCGACATGATATATGTCGGATACGTCGACTCGTGATTTTTCAAAAAAGTACCGACACGACACGTTGATTAAATTCTTCATTTATGTGTATATAAATTTAGTTTTGTACTTAGTATCTCTGATGCTCGGACTTTTCAAAATAGTTGGAGTACCCGTGTTAGATACGACACGACATGGGTATGGGAATGGGTATGGGTATGAGATATGTGTCGGATCTTCCAAATTTCAATCGGATATTTCACTGTTTTTTGCTTCATATTTTTTTTCCTACTCTGTAAATCTAGTGCCACCTCCGAGAGGGGGGGAGAAAGGCGACATCGCTAGATTTTCCCTTCTTTCTTTCCCTTTTCTTTTCTCTATTTTTTTCCTTCTTTCCCTCTCCGTATCTGTGGTTTAGGATTTTGTTTGTATAAAATGAAAATGGGTTCCTTATAATATTAATTAGTGCTCCACTAAATTCAAATTGCAATCAAGTTCCTCATTTTCTATTTTATATAACATTTAGTAACTAACTTCTCATAATTGAAAACTAAACCCCAAAATTCAATTTTATTTGTCTTAATCCCTTATTTAATACTATTTCTTTCTTTGTGAACAATTGATTCTAGTTTATTCAAAATAACATCTTGAGTTAATAAAAAAATTGAAGTTTCAAAGACATACCCATGTACCCGTGTCCAAAATTTAGACTCTTTTTAGCAATGTTTCCGTATCCTACATTTTAAAAAATAAAAGATCTGACACTTTGATACGTATCCATTCCCGAGTCCGAGCATCATAGCTTAGTATTGATTTTTCTTGTTGAAATTTTTTAAATATGAGTATTTGTTATTTAATAATAATTTTGAGTTAAAAATATATAATAACTATAGTAAGAAAGAAAAATAATTATTGTAGAGTGTTTGAAGAGCAAGTGTCCGACACATGTCGGACACGGACACATTGCCCTAGTTAGAGTATCTGTGTTGCAGAGGTGACAGTGGTGGTAATGGTGGCATGTTTGTGATGGCGGTGATGATTGTTTGACTGTGGTGGGACGGTGGTTGGACTATGGATGTGGTGGGGATTTGAGGTGTGTTGAAGGTGAAGGTGGTGGTGATTGTGAGTGATTGTTGTGATGGTAGTGGTAAGGGGGAATTTGAGGTTTTGGCGACAATTTAAGTGGTGCCAGCGGAGGTTGAATGGGGTGGGGGAAGATGAAGAGTCTATTAATTAGATAATCCGTGACTTGATAAAATTATGATTTGAGATTAAATTCGTATTGTGACTTACAATTGTTTCTGTGACGGTGACTTTGTGTGATTTGTGACTAATATGTGAATATGTTTATAAATTGTGTATGATTGTGACCATGAGCCGATTAATTAAATTATATGTTATAATATTGTATCAGAGGTCACAAAATTTGATCATCTTTCTTATGAAAAAATTCCACAAGTTTGTTATTTTTGAAAATGTGCCTTGAAACCTTTGTAGTTATATAGTTTTTCCTTTTTCCAAATCCTTCGAGAATTAACTAATAATTAATCCTTAAAATTACTTAAAACATATATTTCTCTAAGTCTCAAGTTATTAACCAAATTCATTTTTTTCTTGAAATCAACCTACACTTTTTATAGAGTGTTACATATTGAGACCAATATTGATATGTTAAAACTCGCGTTAATGAAAAGGAAAATTACCTTAAACCCTTCTTTCAAGTTTCAATTTCGAAAATCAGGTACAATTATTATTATTATATTTTTGATTGCAAGGTAATAAAAATAAATAAATTAATATGTCATTTATCTCTCTATTCTCACCCAATACATTAGAAAGCTACCATCTCTCTTTATATAATCTATAGCGGAAAGTTACCATATCTCATTTGCTTTCTCGCTTTACAACAGAAATTGAAGTTACCATTTCCCTCTCTACTCCATCTAATCCCAAAATCAGATTTGTACATCGTCAACTTCGACAATCGCCAAAATAAGATCTATATACATGTGGTGATAGACAATCATAGTGGAAACAATCTACAAAATAGTTGCTTATACTCCGCCGTCGAACTGAGTACACCTTCACCTCCATTCCACAACTTCGTCTTCCTTGGTCTTGACATTAACCGCTTGACTTTTGCTGTCAAAATGAGCAACCATCCAGCTCCTCCCCGTCTTTCTATCTTCCTCAGTGTTGACGTTAGCTGCTTATCCTATGTCGTAGAAATGAGCATCCCTCAACCTCCTCATTGTCGCTCCGTCTTTCTTGGTGTTGAGGTTAAGATTGGCAACGCTCGTTCAAGTTCCTTCTTTGTGTGTTATGAGGATCACTGATTTGTAATTTTATTCAGATTAGTTATGGAATATGGAGAGATGCTTAAAATGCTTCTATTATGTTGTAATCGAGTGAATGGTTTAGGAGAAAAAATTTAGTGATTTGCTACAATCAAGTGTGCCAGAATTGTAAGGCGGTTATTTGGGTGGTGGTGGTGGTGGATTTGAGTAGGGAATTGAGGGCTAACGTGGGGCTATTTTAGTCGTCCTTCTCTTTATGGTTGCCAACAGTGATGAGGGTGAGAAGAAAACTTGTTAGTGGGGCGTTTACACCTGCGATGTTTCCAACTATTGTTGTTCGTGGAGGTGGAGTGCTGGATTTAGTCTTGATAGGAGCAGTGGCTGTAGATGGTGCGATGGTAGTGTGAAGAAGTCGCCTGAAGAATAAGAGAGCAGAGGTGGCTGGGATGAATAGTGCGTGTACAGTTAATTGAGTAATTGTGACTCATAAATAATTTATGACATATTAAATGTGTGATTTTGCAATTAATTCCTTGTTTGATCACATCAGAATATTAGATGTGATCGTGATCGTGATCTTGTATGATTTGTGACCAATATGTGATCGTTATCATAAATTGTGTGTTGTTATAGCTGTAGCCCATTTAATTAAATTATAAGTTACAACATTTTATCAAAGGTTACAATTTGATCGCTTGTTTTTGAAATTTTTTGACGAGTTTGTGCTTTTTGAAATTATATTTTATGACATTTGTAGTTATCAATTTTGCCATTGGTTGGGTTGGATGAAAAATATAATATGTGACTATCTAGCTTTACAGTACACAAGCTAGCCCTTTTAGCTTATGGGGCAATAAATAAATTAACAGGAAATTGCACTCACACTTACTTTTCAATTTTCCATCTCTACAATCAGGTACGGAAACTTTTCTTTTAAAAATCAGGTACACTTTCCACCCCACCCACATCATGCACCAACGTTCAAACAGCCCACACCATACCTAAAGAATTTGTGAACCCCATCTCTCCACACTCTTATCTATTCTCTCTTTATCGACCGACCTGTCAGGCCATCTCCACGGAAAGTCACCCATCACCTTTGCCTTACACTTGATGGTGGGTTGATGAACAAGGGTTCATTCGGTAGCGGCCATTATCCATCAATTTGACACTTGTTCTGTCGTATCCACTAAGGTTTGCACGTGATTTGATATCGAATGCCGTCTCTGTCTTGGCTTGGGATGCTAAACTCTGTGATTTGTAGAGTGTACTGTTGCTTGGGGTGTTTGTAACCACTCATTCCATTTTAGGAGTTTTAGGAGTATGGATACTATTACCACTTTGGTATATTTGACCTCGTTTGCGGTGATGTACTAGTGCAGGTGGTGGTGATACGGGTGGTTGTACGTGGTGGTGCAGGTGGATGTATAGATTTGCATGATGGTAATGTAGCGGAGGTGCAGATTTGTGTGGTGGTGGTGGTGGTGGCGGTTTGGTGACGGTGGCGGTGGCAGTGGCAGTGGTGTTGAGGTGATAGCATCGTTTGGGTATTGATTTGCATGGTGGTTATGCAATATATAGATTTTCATGGTGGTGGTGCGACGGTGGTTATGAGTGGTACAGCGTTTTGGGTTGTGTCGATGGTGGTGGAGTGGTGGGATGAAGAGCGATTGTGATTAATTTTTGGGTAATTGTAACTAATAAACTAGTAATTTGTGATTAATAAATAATATGTGACCTAAAAAAGCTTATGATTTGCAACTAAGCGCAAGTCATGTTTGTGTGATCGTGACCATAAATTGTTGGTTATTGTGATATTGACATGTTTAATTAATTAACCAATCACAGTGTTATTTTTTGAAAGAATTTGGCTAGGTTTTCTTTCTTCGAGTGTATCTTGAAATTATGGTAATTATGTATTTTTCCCCCCATAAATTAATGCAAATAGGCTTAAAGCAATTCTAGAAATCAAAATCTTTAAATTAAGTTCGCACTAAATTAATGCAAGTAGGTTTAAAGCAATTCTAGAAGTCAAAACATTTCGGACTAAGTTAATGCAAATAATATAAATGCTATTTCATTTGCTATTATAAAGGGGACAAGTAATACCATTTGCTATTATAAATGCTGTTGTCAAAATCACAGCTGGATTATTGTCGTGCAGATATGGCGAATGATGGACTTGCTTTACCGTCCAGAAGAGGAGGTTCTTGCTGAGCTCGATAAGTTCAAATCTCACCTACTGACGTGTGCCTCTTGATTTCATTCCTGAAAATGGGGAAACTTATGGCCTTCTTATAATTTAATAGATGATCTTATGATTTTCACAAATGTACGGATCGTGACAAGTAATAAAGTGGATATTTACGATCAATTTTATTTTACTTTCCTAATCTAGCGGTAGTTTGAATTAATGTGTTGGCCTATTAACAAATCAAGATCTTATGCTATAATTATATTATGTTAACCTAACTACTCTAATTTGTGGAGAATTTTTGGGATTAAGTAGTTAGGAATATTTAATTTGCTTAGATTATATGATATAGTCAATTTTAGTCAGTAATCTCTCTCTCTCTCTCGAACAAAATTCACTTTGTTCACACGTTCGAAACCTATATCACTTAATTAGTCAAATAAATCTTCTCTCGATCGTAATATTTTACTTAATACAAGTAGTAGTTGATCGATTAAACACACAATAAGTAATTAATTCAGATCAAGTCCTTAGAATATTTGCCAAATTGGTGAAAATTGTACTTGTGCGATTTGCTCCATATTTTATCCTATTATTCAGATTGAATCTTGTCCTTCAATTTTCAAACGCGACTCCTAGATTGCCAACATTCAGAATATGTTCGACTTTAGTCATGTTTTGATCAGTTACTTTTTCTTTTCATCCGTTCTTGTCCAATATCGGAATTTCTCTGTATCAAACTCATAATAATCATTTCAAAATGTTACTTTTGATGGTCGGGATAAATGTAATATTTACACTTACTATGGACATGTCTTTGAATCATTTTGTAAATTGTTGTGTTTTAGCTTAAGCATGCCAACTATTTTCTCTCATACTTGCTTGAGTACATTTTGTTTTGCTAGTTTGTTATCTTAACGTTAACAAGTTGGGGAAAGATGAAATTTGTCCCGATAATCTTCGTAGTAATAAGGAAATTTTGCTATCCAATTCGATGTAAATTGTCTTGGGGTTTCTATGCTTTGCCAATGATTTGCAAGGAGTTCGAATTAGTATGGAGTGATAAATTTATAAATGTGTAAGGCTCAATTCATTCAAGTTGCTGTTGGATTTGCATGTGAGGTGCATGCATTATTTGACAAAATAAGTAAAACCAATAGAAAGGGAATAAAATAAAGTGAAAAACAAAACCTTACCCATTTCTAATTGTTGAGGGGAACATTCACCAAAGGAAAATGGTGTACACACGGTTTTACACCCCCTCACATGGAGGGAGGCCCACATTCCATTGTGTACACACAGCAAGGTCCATCACCAAACTCTGACGTCATTATTAAACAAATTCTGTTTAATAATCGTTTTAAGAGGGTTAATTATGCTAATAGAGACTCAAGTTCTTACTAATTACGTTAATAGTCGTTGATGTTTTGAGTAATTACGTCAGTTGTCTTGAAAATTAATCTTTTACAATAATGGTAATTCAAGTTTTTAATTGTTATACCAATGGTCAATATTGCAAAAAAAAATTCTACTTAGCATCATTACATTTCAACATGTCATCGAATACATTATCTGTTTCACAAAGTCAGCAATTCCATCTATTCAAAATCACATGCAAAAATTATCATGGAAATTTTCTTTTTTTTTCTTTTTTTTTTTTTGCTTTAAAGAAAAATGTAAATCAATGGTAAAACTGGCATCACAAATAAGAGGAAGGTGAACGTTGGGAAATGTTAGAGTCGTAGTCAGGGATGAGCTAACTATAAGTATATTTTGTTAACTTGACAATTAATTAATAAGCCGTTGTTCAAATTCTCCCACGAGCATGTCTTTGTTAAACATTGATGTCAATGATTTTTAAGGATGTCTTAAACCTGATTTTTCGTCTGTAATACAGCATCTAAAAGGTTCATAAATATTGAAACTAGATTTTTATTTCCTATTTGAAAACTGACACGTGCAGGGTGTTACTTTTCACTATCAAAATTGTGTCTTTACATCTCTCGCTACTTGAACCTTACTTTCCATCCGTACTAGTGCGCCTGGATCTCCAATCATAGCTGGGTTGATCGGTGAAATGAGATGGCGTTGGTCGGGTCTGAACACAAATAAGTGTAATTTGAATGATAAAAGTAGTAGTTTTTGTTCAAGTGTTGAAATACATTAAAAGATGTCCAACCTTTGTTCATTATCTCACCTCCGTTTCAATTTTTCTGGTCACATTTTTATTAATCGATCTTTTATTTATTAGCACATTTTGTCCTCAATGACAATCTCCGTCCAAAAGAAACATTACGAGTGAGGAAAAATTTATTTGTCACCCCTTCATTTTTTGGGAAAAGCAAATAAGTAATAAATACAAAAATAAAATATGTGCACCTCATTTGAAAGCACACTAACATAACATTTGGACATAAAGTATCATCATAAACTAAATGTACTAAATAATGGCAAATTGTAGATAATAACACAACAAATTTTCTTTTTAAGACATATTACAAAATTTATTTCAAGCATTTTTGACAGAGTTGCTCAATAAATTTTATTCAAGTATTTTATATTACTCATAATTTACTACCATATGTCATCTACATGTTGACCTCAAATATAGAAATTATTTTCTGAAGCCAATGAATTTCCTACCGAAATTTTGGTAGGATTTCCCCCCTTTAGTCGCCGGGCGTGGGGGGTGAGGTATGTTTTTGGGGTAAATTTTTTGTTGAGAAGAATAAAGTTGGAGTTTTCAGCATTATTTGGCCATAATTTCACTTCAATCCAAGAATGATAAGATTTTTAAGAGTGCAAATCCATAATTTCCTTTTTTTTTTTTTTTTTTTTTTTTTTTTAAAGAGTGGAGGATTGGATATTAGATTTTTAATCCCTTATTAGTTGTACAAATATTCCAATTTATAGATAATTTTAGAGGACTTTTGATTATTTTTATGAGTTGATATCTCTCATCATTATATTGGAAGTTATAATTAAGTCTAATTTTCAAGATCCCGTTGAGATTTTTGCTTTTGTGACATTTGTTATACAATTCATAAATATGCACGCACGGTTTTATTCATTGACTTCTATAATAATATGTCAGAGTTCACATTTAAGTGACTTATATGTTCAGGGTCGAGCCAAGGTCTTTAATGCTGTTGCTTGGATGAGACTTCTGATTGTGGTTTGGCAAGTGATTGGGGGTTTGCGTTTCCTCAACGTGGAGAGCCTTGATGGTTGGGGCATGTTTTTGATTCAACATACTTCGAAGATCGAGGTGCAAATGTTCAATTTATTGATATGTGAACATGCAATGGGTCCCTTTTTGGTTGACGTTGAGTCTATATTGACAATAATTATTTCAACACATAATACTACATATTACGTATAACTTACAATTTATAAGCAGTTACAAACATTACTAAACAAGCACGAAAGCTAATTTACACTCCGTTTGGCAAAATTTATGAAATTTCATTTTTATCACACATTCTAATGAACTCATAAATACTATTCACGTATTTTCACTCATTCCTATGTATTTATAAATTCTTCCCAAATGGGACCCCTGGCAATCATAATCATAATTGTAATCTAAAATTGATGAAAGAAAGTTAACCATGATTAGTCATCAAATAAAAATGAACTCATTTTAACTTTCAAACACAGGACAAAACGTGACGACGCCTGATCTGGGCCTGTTCTTTCTCTCGGTCTTTCTGGGTGGAATTCGAATCGAGAAATGGGTCGCCGGATATCCGGTCGGGTTACGGCCATATACTTCTGCCTCCTCCTGGTCTCGACGACAGTACACTCTTTCTATCTTCCCGGCGTAGCTCCTCGCGATTTTCAAAGAGTATCGTTTCTGTCTCTTCTGCACACATACATCCTTTCGTTAACTTGGAGTTATGCTCTTTGATTTAAATATAACCTGAATATTATGGGATCTTTAGGTCTAGTAATATGACAGTTGATTTCTCGGGGTTAATTGTTTAACTTCCTAGTCTTAACAAGTTCATTTCTGTTGTTTGCTTGTGTTGCTTGTAAAATTTGTTTTGACTGATGTAGATCTAGGGTTTAGATGTTGGGTGATTTGGTGAATTGGATTTGGATCTAGGGTTTTGGTTGTTGTGATGTAGTTTTTAATTTGTTTTTGGATCTTTCATTAATAGCTTTGATATTTGATTTGATAGTGTGTTTATATGTGGTCTTGTTATGAACTCTTTATTAAGAGGAAAAGACAATTCAACTTTCCTGCGTTTGACTTTTGATGATAATGATACGAGGATTTGACATTTCGGTTATACAATTCCATGTGTTTTTTGCCATTGCGGATATGTATTCAATGATAATATGTTGATGATGAAAAATATCTGTGCGGATAATCCTAATAGATGCAATTTCCACACAAAATAAATAAATAAATAAATAAATAAATAAATAAATAAATAATGGAGACTTTCAGTTAGCCAGTCTGGTAACATTGATGTTGTTTTGTTGCTTAAGACAGCGAGACTTGTGAAGAGGATGTTTCTGGTTGATGCCAACTTGGAAAGTCGATTGCCTCCTGCAATCCAAGTTTGGCATTATACCAAATGCCTGTTCCCGCTCCCTAATTGAAAATGTTTTCGGTATTTTTGGACATCTGTGTGTAATGCATTCATTTACTTTGATTTTATGGTTATTATTTTGTAGCCGATGATTCTGAGTAGTTAATGATCCATTAAATTCTTTATAAAATTGATATGAAAAGTCAGTTCCTATTATGTTTATTATGTGTTGCTTGTGTTCAGCAATTTCTTCTTTCTTAACCAAGTAAGGTGAAGAGTTTCTTGAATTATACACCATCGTATATTCCTTCCATATGTAATGCCCATTTTTTACTTTTATAACAGGGGGATGAGCTTCAAGTCAAAGTGAACAAGCTATCATCTACTAAGACACAACTGCCATATGATTTCTATTACTTGAAATATTGCAAGCCGAAGAAAATCATGAATGTTGCTGAGAACTTGGGGGAGGTCCTTCGAGGTGACCGAATAGAAAACTCAATTTACACTGTGAGTATGCACGATTAATTTGTAAGGTTCCCTTGTCTATATTGTTCTATGACGCATGAACACGAATATGGGCACGGATGACACTTAACTATTCAAATGACAGTAGGATGCAGAATTTAGTTTGAGAATCTTTAGACTTTTGTATTATTATCTGCATATTTTTTATACCTCAGGGAAGCTTCCCCTAGATGAGAAGTAAATCTACCCTTTCTTATTTGTTAATTTATTCATAAAAGGAACGTAGCGTTATGGCTTGGACTCAATCTCTTTGGTTTACTTTTTCATTAAAATAAAATACTTTTAAGGTTTTCTTTTTCAAATTTTGTGATTGAAATCTTTTGAATTTGAGAAGTGGTTATTTGTTGTATTAAGATATCTTTTTGTTGTATTTACTAGTGCAACAGAAAGAAAAATGCATGTAGTATATATAAAGCAAATTCAACCTAAAGTTCCTAGAGTTTTGCTCATATTATTTAATTTTCTTTTGCAAATGTTCAACAGATAATATTTCCCTAATTTTATATTCCTAAAATTTTCAAAATCATCTAGTATTGCTGAGGGCATATGTCGCGAGACTGAAATGAAAAAACTTATAGCACAATGCAACATGGTGTTTAATGAAGTGTCCTCACTTGTTAGGAAGTTTAAAACACACACACACACACACATCTGGATTGCTGTGTGTTTATGTCGGGACGGGGGTTCAAATCCTCGTAATGACGCTTGTGACAATGATGTTTGCACTGTTGGGTTTCCTCTCACCTTCCAACCGTGGTGGGCTTATGACTGCCATGGTTCTCTTATGGGTTTTCATGGGCTTGTTTGCTGGTTACTCATCAGCTCGTCTATACAAAATGTTCAAGGGCACCGAGTGGAAGAGGAATACCTTAAAAACTGCTTTCATGTTTCCCGGTATACTGTTTGCTGTTTTCTTTGTTCTGAATGCTCTTATCTGGGGAGAAAAATCATCTGGAGCTGTACCCTTCGGAACTATGTTTGCTCTTGTATGCTTATGGTTTGGAATATCAGTTCCATTGGTTTTTGTCGGTAGTTATTTGGGTTTCAAAAAACCAGCCATTGAAGATCCAGTGAAGACAAACAAGATCCCAAGGCAGATAGCCGAACAGGCATGGTACATGAAACCTATGTTCTCTATTCTTATTGGAGGCATCCTTCCTTTTGGGGCTGTTTTCATTGAATTATTCTTCATATTGACTTCCATCTGGCTGAACCAGTTCTATTACATCTTCGGCTTCCTCTTCATTGTCTTTGTGATTTTAATAATCACGTGTGCAGAGATAACAATTGTTCTCTGCTACTTCCAATTGTGCAGTGAAGATTATCATTGGTGGTGGAGGGCTTACCTGACTGCTGGTTCCTCAGCTTTATACCTTTTCCTGTACTCTATTTTTTACTTCTTCACTAAGTTGGAAATTACCAAGCTCGTTTCTGGCATTTTGTACTTTGGGTATATGCTAATTGCTTCATACGCCTTCTTTGTGTTGACGGGAACCATTGGCTTCTGTGCTTGCTTCTGGTTTGTTCGGAAGATATATTCCTCCGTGAAGATCGACTGATGTAAAGAAGGGAAAGAAAGTGGGAATATGTAGTAGTAAGGAAAGATTGACTTCAGGATGGTGATGGAAGAGCATTTAGATCAGTTAATTCCTTATAGGGAGGATAAGAGCATGAAACGACGTAAATTTTCCCAGCCTGCTTTTCATTTTCTGGTTGCTTGTATTTTAATCTCGTCCGATGATGTTCAAACCAAAATCATTTTCGTCGACTGTAAGATGTAGAAGAATTTCCACTTGAAGAGACCTTGGTTGTATTGGAACTTTTCTGATTATTCATCAGCACCGATGCAACTGTGACTTGATAAATTTTGTTAATATCTCTTTGCATAGTTATTTTATTTAAGAAGGCCCTCTCTTTATGAATGTTTCCTTTTTTCTTTTGTTTTGTTATTCTTATGAGCGGACAGTACTGTTATACAGAAAGGTGGATTTTGATGTAAGAAGCATACTTTATATATTGGACTTTAGTAGCATTTGAAGGTCCGAATAAATGGACTTCGATGGAAGAAGCAAACTTTATAAATAGATATATATATACGAGTGGTTGATCTGTGAGTAGTATTTGTTGGTCCGGATAAAAAATAATTTGAATATTTATAAACATGAACGAAATATGGGCTAAAGCTCGTGTTTCCATAGGAAATCGACTCAAGGGCTCATGGGCAGCTCTAAAATTTCTGCTGCAGAATGCATTCTTACAAAAACTGGTTTGATTGTAGCTTATATACCACATCTTACAAAGACATGGATGGAACCTGGTCAACCCATTTGTTGAATCACTCGGGAAAATTAACTTCAAACTTGTAACTTTTGTGGTGTTACACGCACATAATTATTTTTGACCACCGGTTGAACTCATTGACTCTATAACTTTTCCTTTCCAATAGAGCTGGGTTCAGGTATAAATGCTCTGCTTAATAATTAAAATATCATTTTAACTAGAGGTTAATAAATTAACTCATTTTCAATTGTATAGATTGTGATTTTATTTTGTAATTTAATTCTTTTGATATAATAAATATTATTATTATTTTTTATAATAACTATATTGAATCCATCGTCTAAGAAAAACATTTGATAATAATAGATTGGTAAGCAAAAATTGTCAAACCGAAAAATTCAATTGAAATTGTCTTTTAAAAATCGTTGATTTTGGTGCCATGTGAATCCATCAACAAAAAAGTTTCGAACTAAAACAGTTTGGTATAAGTTTTGGAATTCAATCTGCAATTTGAAACCGAACAGGACCGTTTAAAATCACACACGAGCGGTTGATCTGTGAGTAGTATTTGCTGGTACGGATAAAAAATGATTTGAATGTTTATAAATATTAACCTTCAAAATAAAATATAAAAATTAAATTTTAGTAAAACATTGAGTACTTTGGCCAACTTGTCAATTTTCAAATACCAATACCTAACCAATTAGCATAGTTTTATAATCCTATTAATTCAATCCATCAAAATCAAAACCCTTGCACCAAAGTTGAAGACAACTCAAAAGTTGAAACCCTCTGTCTTCAATCTTCACACCACAAATATTGAGAACCAAAAGCTCCTCAATATCGACGATTTGAATTTATAGTTTGATGTATATTGTTTATTTCCCCCCTATTTTTTTACGCCAATAAAGTATGAGAATATTTAAAATAGTTTTTTTCCCCATTTTCATAAAATTATTTAATAATCAATGAACCGGTTACGATAAAGTGATCAGAAAAGAAAATATATAGTCAAATTGCAATATAAACTCGGACCAAATTGTTAGGTTTATGTTTGAAAAAGTCCTCAAGGTTTGGATATGAGTTTTTTTCAAACAGTTTTAAACAATTTGATTTAAAAATTTGTATAAAGGAAAAAAAAAAAATTAGCCAAATTTGACCCCAGATAATATTAGAGATGTCAATTAGGCTTGAATAATTTGCGGCTCGACTCAAGAAAATGTTGGCCCCCTACTAGCCCATGTCTTGGAAGCCTTTAAAAGTGTAGCTTAAAATAGGTAGCTATAAAATTATCTTTGAAAAAAAAATTAAAATTTCAAGAAAAAAAGAGCCAACTCACTCGACTCGAAAATGCCTGAGTCAAAAGCTCGAGCTAAGTCCCATTTTTTGATTGAGCTTCGGCTCAACTCGGCTCGAGCCAAAAAGCTCGATCTAATTTTATTTGAGCCGCGTCCGAGTTGCATATTTCGACTCGTGAGCCAGTTCGGCTCGACTAGACTCGTTTACATCACTAGATAATATTAATATGTTATAAATGAAAAAAATAATCGTACATTGATAATAATAATAATATAAAAAGGATATAATTATAATCTATATCCCTTTTAGCAACTGTGTACAATCACAAAACTGATTGATTTTTGTTTACCAAATGCTAAAATGCTAATTTTAAAACATACAACAATTGTGAAACAAAAGTTTAACAAACATGAATTAATATTTTCGACAACTGATTTTTTCTTCGATACAACAAAAGTTAATTTTCTTAAAAGCACAGCAATAACCCTAGATAATGATTAGAATTACCCTTAGTTATATGCATGTTCTTATTTTCACTTGTATCTTGTCATTTCACATAGATATAAAACAAATCTTACTCATAATACATCTAATATCGATTCTACAAAATTTATTTGTCCATTTATAAAACAAATCTTAAAATTGATCAATCATGCTATAAGTACACGGAATTTTGACAAATAACACATGATTGGGAATTATTGAAAAATGGAGAGAGAGGAAAGAAGGCCAATCATGCGTCGTCACGTCAACGTCTGTATAAATTCTGTCAACATTTTTCTTTATTCATGGCTTTTTCCAAAATTGAATATACAAATTTTATTTTTCCATTTTATCTCATTTATTGCTATATCCATATGCAATACACTATAGTAGGAATACCTAATAACACTACAGGATAAGTTATGTAATAAGATTCAATAAAATTTTAAATATAATGTAGTCCTATTTTATTTCAACTTATTACCAACTATAAAAAAGACATGGACGAAATTCTCATATATACAACCTAAATTTCAAATTAAATTATTTCGACTTTACACTTAGGGTATTTGCAATGGACTAGTTTGCAAAAACTAATCAAACTATTTTGCATTGTAATTGGGTATAACTCAAGTTATATTTGAATAGCTTACGAGTATGCTCAACTAACAACGATTTAAGTGTTGTGAAATTGCATCTCTTAATCTACTTGTTGACACATAAAAATTCAGCCCAAATCAAGCGGTCCAAGAAGTGAAGCCCAATTGAAGGATCCCCAAATCAGATAGCCCAAAAAAGGAAGCCCAATCGAACAAATCAAGATGAAGGCCCAAATAAGGAGGCCTAAAAACGTGGTAACGCCATCGCCCAAGTTTGCAAGTCGCCCAGAATCTGAGCGAATGGAGTGTCATACAGTCGCCTAGAGCTGTTACTCTATTCTCGCCCAAACCTTCAAGTCGCCCAAGGTTTTAACAAACATAAAGCGTCGTGGTTATCAAGAAGTGCAATTATTAAAGCAGTTATTAAAGCGGCCCTATCACGTTCCACGATTCAAGGATTTCAATTGAAAGCGGTTGAACGATGAAGGGTAATGACAGCAGTTAAAAAAGGCAGTTTTCATGACAAGTTGGCCATTATGAAGAAAGTGGGTAGTTATAGGACGATCAAGCAGTTTTTAGAACAGTTGATCACAAAGAGATCATCCATGAAGTATAAAAGGGAGAAAGGACATAGAAGCAAAGGACCGAATCTAAAAACTCTCGAACAGAGAACATGTAATTTTCATTTCCTTAGCTTAAACTTGAATACTTTTCTTTCAGTAACTTGTGTGCTTGCGCCCCTTGGAGGCACGTTGTTTTTCATTTTCAATTGTAAAGTCATCGCCAATAAAAGAACACCCCTTTTTGGGACTTTATCTCAAGAGGTTTGTCCCTTACACAATCGTCTGATCCTTTTTAATTGTTAGCGACTAACCCGCGCGAAACACTACTGAAAGAAAAGTTGGTCATGTTAGTCAAAATTAGTTTGGTCAAATACAAAACGATGCAAGAGAGTCAACTATTATTAAAAATAAAAACATAAAAAGTGATACAAAAAAATTATACCAATAGAGAACATTTGATCACTTATCATTTGTAAAATTGCACAGGGAAAAAGCAAAAGAAATTATAGCTTTCTTGAACATGAAAAATAAAAATGTTGCTGCAAGCCAAAAGCTTGCATGTTTCATTCTAATCCCTCCTTTGACTCCCAAACTTTGATATTATTCCAATTGTAGCAAAAAAAAAAGGTACAATAACTATTTTATATACATTATCTCCTCTGCAATCATCTTGAAAATTTATATGGGCTTTGGACCAGATGTGTGTTGCATATGTGGAGAATGGCACAATGATGTTGGATGGACCTTTATTGAATTGATGGACTTGTGGTTGAAATGGTGCTGATTTAATTCTCGGCAACAAACGTGTTGTTGAAACACGATTTCTTTAAATAAGAACAACTGTATCTAATCTTGCCAAGTATCGACTGTTGCACCGTTGGATGTATGACCTTCTAGTGCCAAGATAAATTCGATATTTATCTTGGCACTAGGGTTTGAGATGCAAGACTTTTCATTCTCTCATCTCTTGAACTCCCTCTGCGGGTTCATCATTTTTCTCTCAAACTGTACTTTGAAATCAAGCCTTCATTTGATGATATTTTAACTAGCCGTTTGTATAGATCTTGAGTGATTTTATATAATCTTATATCTCAATATCCTTGAGTGAATGTTGTAGTTTTCAGTGAGGCTTATTTTGGGAGAAATCTTGTGTGATTTCATTTGAGTGCCATGGAGTGTTGTATACTAGACCATCTGTTGATTTCATTAATATAGTGATCTACTTTTGGTCATGAAAGCTTAAAAGGGGATTAAGAACTCCAATTCTGATCCTCTTGCCTTAGGGCGAAAATTATCATGTTCATTTTGTTTCTTTCAATTCCTCGCTTTATTATTGTTCATATTTTGTTGAAATTTAAAGTGGCTAACTTCTAAATCACTCGTAATAGTGGTATCAGAGCGTGTAAACGATGGTTCTTGGCTTTAGTTTGGTAGATTTGAAAGTCTTTGCAGCCATTCGGTAGATCTCTGTTATTTTCTTGAAACCTTAATACAGGGATTTGGTGATTTCGTTCCTATTTTTCGAGTTACAGATCACAATACTTGCTTGTTTTCTGAGATACTTCCAACTATGGTTAAATCTTTAAATCGAAGACTTCTCTTGGCAATTCCTTTGTCCAGAAACCTTTGAGTTGTCTAGAATCCGAGGGTTGCCTGATTTCAAGTCAACGATTTAGACCTTTTACTTCATATTTTGGCATGTATTCC